GGGGGGTAGGTGGGTGAAGAAGGTGTTCATAACAGCAACCTTACCTTTTAAAACCCAAAATGAGGCTGTTCCTAAACTGACGCATATCAATAGGAGGTGTCCTTGCTGAAGACACTGTAAATGAAAGAAATGTTTCTAAATAGTAATTGTAAAAAAATCCCTGAACTGCAACAAGTCAGTAGGTCGTCTAAATACGGTGTCGTTAGAAGAACTATTTCTTTAGTTCAGTAAATGCTGACAAACTTTTGTAAATCAAAATTTCAAATACCAGGGTATTTGAAACAGTCCTGGTTTTATCAGCCCTAAATCTGCTCCATTTCAAAAGGGATCAAATATGCTAAAAAAGAGATTTTTCCTTCTTCATTGCCTTTAACGTCAATACTTAATACATCAGTCTTTTATATAGATTAATAATAGGAGTAAGTATCTTATCTGTAAAAAAGTACAAGACCAAAGAAAATACTCTGGAACAAAAAACGATCCACCAGAGGCAAATGGTTTGCTGATTGTTTCAGACTGAATACCTGCCTTAAAATAGGCTTTACAATTTTGCCTTCTATTTTTTTAATTTAAAAAACAAACAAACAAACAAAACCCCAGTGACACTCTCTTAGGTGTTTGCTTCTGCTGGTGTAAATTGCTTGACAAGAAAGAAAAAGTAGTTTCATCTAAAGTGCTATCCACTGAATTAAGTTAACATAAGGGGAAGAAGAGAAAGATACACAGTTCTAAATGTTGATATTTACAATGTTGATTGAACACAAAAGAAACTATAAAATTACTTAAAATTAGATGTCCCTGAGAGGTCATTTACAGTTATGCCCTATGTCCTCATCTTTACATCATTTCTTGGCTAAATATGCCAAATCGTTCTACCTTTTTCCTCAAGAATTGCTGTGGCTCATTCCAGCACCACAGTCCAGCAAAGAAAAAAATACAGTAGTGGATGCATTTAAATCCTGTATGAAGCTGTTATCATCCAACTTCAGTACCACAACAGAATTAACCCCTGTAAAAACCTGAATGCACTGGGCCCTTTCAGCAATGGCTGCAACATGGTATATGGTAGAAAAGAACTGAAATAAAAACACCAGCTCTATAAGAACCTGGGAAATAAAAGGCAGGAACAACATGCTAAAACCACTCCTTAGTGTAACTCCAGGCATTTAGAAAATTAAAAGTTTTAAATGTTGGAACGTTTATTTTAGTTTGAAAATCTCAGGTAAAGTTGCTTTCAAGAAACCCTCACGATACAAATCCTCTTCCAGTGGTATATTAAACTTTCTGCTCATAAAAAGATGAGCAGAAAAGCATCTTAGTATGCTCAGCTGCTGCTGACAATCGGCAACCTGGTTTCCTTAGCAACAAACAAGTCTGGGAAAAATCAAGAGGCTGACAATGAAGTGGAATGGAACAGCATGATAAAGGGAAAAAGCGGCTCTCATGTACACCGCCTTATGTGCCCAGATTCCTCAGCTGATGCTTCGTAGGTTTCATCTTGTCAGTAGCAGAAATCTATACATTATAAGGTATGAGAAGCTGAATCAATACACCTAGATAGCAACCAGCATTAATTACCAACCTTTGCCTCCCCCCGACTACACTGATGAGACCATCTTGAACTATTTTCCTTACTGCATCTATTTTTCCCTCTTTGTAATACTGCAAAAGGAGCCAAGTAAAAAAAAAAAAAAAAAAAAAAATCATCTGTTTAATATCTGTGCCTTATCATTACATAGGTGCTAATTAGATTTACTAGCATTCATTTCAGCTTGGTAAACTATTTATGGGAGTACCTTCCTTTAAAGCTCAAGTTCAAAAGAAATTTTGTATATCTCCATGAATTATTAACCCTAGTCTTTGTAAACAGAAATACCACTACAAGATTTAAATTCAACACACAGGCAACAGATAAATAATACACTATGTGAGACTAACTTCATGACAGTAAGACAGAATGCACCCTACTATATATGCCTATATCATACTTTTTATATCATTTACATCTACCATATACCAGGCAGACACGTATTTGTCTTATAACACATTAAAACCTGATTATTTCAGTTAACCAAAATGAATGCGCAGGAGTGGGTCTACTTTTTCGTGTAGTCAAAAATAAAAAAAAATATTTCACTTTCCAGAAGAAATTTCATTGCTCATAATAAATAGTTATCCTTTCAAAAAAAATTCAAAGTTATTTTAGGTACTTCATTTTTCATGGTTAATGTGTTTTTTTGTAATAAGAACAACCACCAAAAAAAAGGCAGAATATAAGGTGAATCTTAAAGATCATTAATTGATAAATCTCCAAGACAAAGATTAAATCACTGATTAGTAACTACTCATTTAAATTTTCTCATTTTCAACACAACAGCCTCCCACTGTCATGGTGTATAGACAACATATTTCTATATTTGTTAAATACAACCGTTAATGACAATTGCAACAAAAGACTGCTAAAGCTTTTCCCTGAACCCTGGACACATAAAACTGTTGTTTAAAAAAACAAACAAACAAACAAAAAACCAAAAAAAGAGATTTTTTTGTATCAGAATTAGTCCAATTTTAGGTGTTTTATTATTGTCTCAGTATATCAGGCAAATAAAAACTGTATTTGTTTTAAATTTTGAAGAGAAATATATTCCTACTTAACCAAATCATCCCACTCCATACATTCAGTCAATGACATATATTAACTTTTGCAAGCACGAGCATCAGAACAGTCTTTGGAGAAAACTCTTAAAAAGTGATTAATTCATGCTGTTACAATTTCATCACCTAATTAACCCATCAAATCTGTACACATAACTTCCACGACCAACAGATCAGCAGAGTACCCTCAGGTTAACACCAGCGGCAATCAGTTCTTTAAAGTTGGTTCTTTCATTAATAATTCTTTAGTACTTCAGAGCCATATTGTTAGACCAGCATCCTGTTGTAACTGACACTGCAAACAAAAACAATCCCTGCACCAACAACTTAACAGTCAATTGTGCAAGGCACAATCTCTTGGCCTACAACCAATCAACACTACCACCAAGTACATAGTAACATGCAACATGAAAAATACTTACATAGAGAAAGAACATTGTTCAGTCTTCCATGTGCTGCTTCGTATCTTATTTCTGCTATAGAGAGTCCAACAGTTTCAAACAGGCAGTCATTTTTCTAGAGATAAAGCAATCAGTCATTGGAAGTACACACAGAGAAGACCTTCTGGCACTTTGTATTTTTAAACACTTCCTTCCTAAAGGACATCGGCATTCTTGTATTGATAGCTGTTGAGAACATAGAAGGTGCTCTACAGAAATCTACATGGCTAGCCAGATAAGTTGCTATTGATCAAAAATTATCCAGCTTTTGTATTGAAATCAAATGCAAGAAACAAAGTTACCAAAGGCAGAAAGAGTGGGACAGTTAAAGTTAGTCTGCAATTCTGAATTCTTTAGCAAGTTAAAAAAAAAAAAAAAATCACCAGAAACAATTGTAGTACTTCTAATCCCCAGTAAAAAAAGGCCATCATCCATTTATTCAGTTTTCCACTTCAGGAAACAGGAAGCTAGTAAGTCTGGAGCAAAATATTTCAGTTAGCTCTGAAAGGCGAAAAGCAGCAGGAGAAAGACATAGTAAACAAACCATTGGTGCACCAACTGTTTCAAAAGTAATCTAAATATTCTGAACGGGCTTCATCATACCAAGTTCATGTTTAGAGGACTACTGGGATCTAAAGCCTTCACAAAAAACATAGGAAAACAAGCCATGCAACAGTCATTTTTATGAATTCTGAATGCAAACTCACCTCCAGCTGGGCACGAGCAGTTTCACTATCAGCAAAGTTTTTAAAAACATAGTCTGTGTATGTTTCTGTATCAAGTTCCACCCCCAACTCATGCATCACTTTGAGGACCTCAAAGATACCTATCAAGGCAAAATTGGTAAGGCTAAGCATTTCAGAAAAATGAAAACTTGAGACTCAACATTTAAAAATAAGTTGCTTTTCAAAAAAAGGACTTGTCTCCTCAATTTCCCTCCTTGAAATTGTCATGCAAAATCCTGCATTTTTATTTTAGGTGTTAATAAATTTCTTAATTGTGAAACTTAAAATAGATTTTAAACTTCCTGTTCTATGCTGTACTATCAAAAACATGATCACTATCTTGGCTAGTTTAGAAATTGCTAGTATACAAAGTTATTTTCTAACACAGTGAATATATGACAGTTATTCATGTTTGCAAAACATCTTTTAGAGCTATATATCAAAATGTCCCCATTACTGTGCATAAAAAACAAATCTGAAATTTGGTGTAAAATATATAATCAAATTCAAGATACAAATGCATTTAATATATAATACATTCTTAGCTTTGTTCCCAGAATCCAACTCTGATTAGCAAGGCAAGCTTTCAAGGTTTGTCTCTAGATTTGTTTGAAACAAGTAACATTTTTGTAAGCAAATAGGTTGATTACTCTATCAACGCATCAGCTTCAAACAGGAAATTCAGATAAAAGCTGGAGTCTCCTGTGCCCCAGTGAAGCTTACACTACAACTTTTACAAGGTTCAGATCAATTCACACAACCAGACTGTATATTACTACTGTAGACACGCATTTGAAGACAACAGGTACAAAATTTTAATAGTTCAGCAATTAAAGTGTAGAACTTCAGAGTGTATGTTATGCTTTTTAATTGCTCACACTCTTCCGAAAAAAAAGAAACTTCTTACAGCAACCCACCCTAGCTAGCAAACTCTGAACCCCTGTCAAAATCAATACAGGCGTTATCATTTTTTTCTGGTGTAAAAATGATTTGTCAGCTGCTACAGGACACCAGTACCAAACAGCATATGTTTTTTTCAACTTGCATTTCATACTTATTACTTTAAAAATGTAAAGTTTCCCAAAGTCCCTGTCTTTGCCCTGGAGTGCCACCTATGGAAAAGTGACACTTCCATGAATATTTTATGCAGTGCACTATGGTGCAAATAATCAAATGTGAATTCCCTTTGAGCACTTGAAAATACATGCAGGGAAGTCACACTAGATTAAAGTCGCATCATCTGTTCGACTTTGCCTTAAACAAAACTCTGATTTTGGCCCAGAATCCGCAAAAATATGAATAAAGAATTAATTACAGTAAGTCTTTCTTGATACCTTTCAAATTTTGACAGCTAGTTTCTATTTCATGTTTTCAACTTCCCAGAAAATACATTAAGTCCTCTTATGCTGAAACCTTTTCAAAAATAACTATCTGAATCACTAGAAAGTCATGTGAAGACCAAGAACTAGATACCATATTGAATAAGGTGTGGTAAGCTCAGGAGATTTGAGTTCAAATTTGTATCTAGCACAGAGTAGAAAACAGGCTTGTTAAGCATCCCCATTCCCTAGCAGACATTTGTCACAAATGTCTACTAGCGCACAGTTCCTGAGTAGGAAAGGGCATGTACGAAGATCAGAACACCGGCGCAACGGTGAGATGCAGATTAAGGAGGAATACCAGTAACAATACTGCACAAAGCCAAATTAATTGCAAACTTAAAAACAATGCTGCCACACATCTCTTCATTTCTGAGATGACTGATGTACAATTTTGGAGTGGAAATAGAAGATTAATGAAAACCAACATAGAATCCTACAATTTTGCATACATTTCCTACCTTGCTGAGAGCAGAACTATTTTATTATCACATAAATATCTTCCACAATACAAAGCAATGAAACATTCCTACTTCAATCAAAATACTATAAAATTGTCAAATACATGCATGAAATAGGATTTGATCATTGTGTGTGGACTTTTGGAAATTCTTTGTTCCTTGTATTGGAAGATACACTGACCTCTTCTCTCTCCCTAAACCAAAGAACAGACTTAAAAAAAAAACCAAACCAAAAGTGCAGTCACATTTACCTAGAACACTGGCCTCCCAAACTTCTTTGAGAACGTACCCTCAGTACACACATATTTATTTAGAAAGTATATACGTGTACTACTGTACTGATATACTATGCACATTATAAAACATACACAAAAATAGAAAGTAAAAAAGGATTAAATAATTGTTTTATTTATTAACAGCCCACTCACACCCCAATGGATTGCCTTGCACACCTCATTTTGGAGACCACTGATCCAGAAGACTGGGTATGACTAAAACTCACAGTAAAGTCTTCCAGTCATCTCCCTGCTTGATGAAGAACAGGTTTTTGAGATCTTGGGCTGAGATATGTAAGGAATGCAGGAGCTGAGTATCTAAAATCAAGTAACTGAGTGAGCGGAAACAAGACAGAAATAGGGAACAAAACACAGCCAAACTTCTGTTCTCCTTTTTGTCCATATTGGAAACAGCACTTGAACACCCCAACAGAACAGATTCCAGCCTCGAATCAGTACATTCAAGAACAAATACAGAAATTATTAACTACAAGAAGGTAATAATATTTCTGTGGTAGAACAGAGCAACTTGCTGCTTTTCAAGAAGTGAAAAGCGAGACTTGCATTTCAGTCCATCTTTCGTTTCCTAAGTTTCTCATAGTAAGTTGTGCCTTCTTCCTAAAGCAGTCCCATCAAACATGAGGGATTTCTAAGGCAGTTACATTCAGTTCTACATGTGCAAGGGCAGCAAAATGGGGCTTTAAGCAGTTTTCTAAGGAAACAAACAAAAAAAACCCCTCCAGTTCGAAAAGTGAGGTCACACTCAGGAAAACAACATAGCATTTAACATATTTTTGCTGTGCTGTTAATTTCAGATGCACTCAGAAAGTTCTTTGCCAGAGAAGTCTGTCTGCAAAACAGTATTTCATGCAATTACTTTGTGAAATCACCACCCTTATTCCTCTCTGGACTCAGACTCCTATTTCCCTTATTTCCCAAAGTAGACATTGAATTAGCATTCACTAACCATGATTTGTGTACATAACAACAGTTTAGTAGAAAACAAAAGTAAAATACAGAACTGACTTTTAAAAACTGTCTTTAAAAATAACATGATTATACAAAGACGAAGGGGAGCTATAAAATATTCAGTAACAGTGTAAGTCAAACACTTCTGCTTATTTATACTAGGCCCTCCTGGTTTTACTGTATAATCTGATATAAGATGAATCTCAGTGCCAATAACAGTTTCAGACACACTGCATATCGGTCTTTTCAACCCTGCAAGCACTTTCCATTCCTACAAGCCTAACAGCATTTACCTAGATAAATACTATGGGAATAAGTAATTATCAGCTTGTATAACAGATGCACATAAAAGCAAGAATGCCCCATCTGAAATTATTTGCCTGTGTAAAATGCCTGAAAAGAGCTGTCTGCTATTTCAGCGTGGTTAAGTTCTCTACGGTATATTTAAAAACGGCCTTGCTTAGTTTCATTCCTCTTAGCCACCACTTTGCTGCTACTTTTCTTTCAAACTCAATACCATAATACAGAAGTTAGGGAATTTCCTTTGATATCCAGTGTCAGCTTTTGTTATAATAAACATTGGATAAACATATAATTAAATGTTCCTGCTAGTTATATAATTGTTTGGGCCACATTACACATACCGATTCAGACATTTGTACCCTGCAGTTCTAGATAGGTTGTTGCTTACATTCTGTGTTCTTTTCCATTTCCAGCCTTACCTATACCAAGATGCAAAATTACACACATTAGGCCAAGCATTCCTACTTTGTAGAGAAAAGAATTATTACTTCTTTTTTGGTATGAGATGTGATACAGTTTCTATCTATACTTTTGTTCACACAACTCTATTTGCTGCTAGAAAGCACTATTCTGTTCATTTACTATCTGCTGTCACCTTTAGGTTCTCACTGCAGCATTATTTTTTGCTCTATTATTTCTGTGAAACAATTTCAGGGTGGGTGGGTGCTTTTTTTCCCCCCCTATTTACTTTTCTTCAAGCATATTGGTTGTATTTTTAGATAGCAGATCTCACTTACTCATTTATTATTAAATTTCAAAAAATTAATGTGAGCTTATACATGGGAAAGAACAAGACAACTTAGAATCATAGAATCATAGAATCGTTTAGGTTGGAAAAGACCTTTAATATCATCCAGTCCAACCACTTGTTTCACTGCAGCAAGAATAATTCCACTGATCTTCACTGCAGAAGAAATGGCCTAGATATCATCTTATGTGTTTTAAGAATTGCAAAATCCCTGACTTTTGTAGGTATGCACACAGCAGTAACATTCCCACTTCACAATTCAAACCCGGAGACTAAGTACCAGGTTACAAAAATGTGTCTGCAGATCCACAGTATGATCATACGGCCATGCAGAAGTTTATGTATCCAATGCGTTTGCAGACAGAAAAAGAAAGGCTCTCTAGAAAACAGCAAAGAAAGTCAGAATTGAGGCTTCCTTCATCAGTTTTCTTCTCAATTTGCTTACATGACTTCCAGCAGGAACTACTAGCCAAAGCACAGTTGATTTCTATGGCAGGAGTCCAAATTAAGGCAACCTCTGATCTTGCCAAAGACCAAAAGAGATAGGAAAACTTAAGTTTCTCTCGACGTTCAGATATTGTTTCAGTTTTGGGAGCTAAGTCTAAACCTAAAACTACTTCCAATGTCTCTCAGAATTGTGTTAGTGAGGTGAAATTTTCCATGGAGTAATAGAGAGCATGTTTTTTCAGTAGGCAGCATCCACGTAGAGAAGTAGGACACTGATTTTAATTTACTTATTTTTGGCAACATTGTACTTCAGGTAAGTCACAAAGGACCCAACTAAAACAACGTTGCCAGACTTTTAAAATATCATAGAACTTTCAAGCACTTGAAAACCTGGGAGAAGATAAACTTGGGAAGTAGTCTAGCAGGAACAGAGCCTAAGGAGTTAATAAAAACTGAATATTGTTTTCACAAAGGCTTTTTGAAAAAGACTTGAGACATTTTTATAGCCAGAAACAATTAGGGAATACTTGTTTCAGCATTTCTTCCAAACTGGAATGTGACTGTATATTTAAGATAAAATTGCGATATGAAGAGCCTGCTAAAAGCACTTTTTTTTTGTTTGTGCATTTTGTTTGTCACCCAGTGTCACACTAACAACTCTGCATCTCATTCTAAAGCACATTATACTGTGAGATAAGATGAAAAAGACAGTTTTTTGTTTCCCCAAGGGGGAAGTACTTCTGTTAAAAGCATCTTTTTACAATACCATTCTTTCTGAATTACCAATAACGCAAACCAAAGAATTAGATACTGTACTCTAAAATTTAATATTTGTTCAATTCTTATTCATATCCTGTAGACATCCCCATGTGTAACAGGGGAAAGTATGCTAAATGCTTAAACCTACTTAAGAATCCCAAAGATTGAGCATTTCTGTCCTTCAATCAGTATGCTGTCAGGTCAGGCTCACGCATTCAGCAATGTAAGTTCTCCTGCAGTTTTTATTATTGTAACAAAACTCACGTTTGGCTTATCAGGTAGATAATAAGAAGTTGGCTTGAAAAAAGGATTGGGTTTGCAGTCCAAAAGAGCTATTATAACATAACCTTACTTTTAAATTCTTCTCTCAGGTTTCAGTTTCTTCAAGAGTAAACTCTGTAAAAGGTAATGAGCAGCAAAACCAGTGGAATGCAGAAAGAATGTGAAGAGTTAAAAATATAATTAAACACTCTCTCACATCTTTCTGTGCAAAGGTAGACTTCAAATTTGTAGAACTGTACCATCATTAAGTAAGAAAGTATGTTTTAAAAGTCTTTCTGAAGGAAAATCGGTTTGCAACAAAGTAAGACATGCAGCAAGGTCTTTGTTTACTTTCAAGAGTCTGCTGAATCTCATAGCAACGTTTTAATAAAAGATTTGTGCACTAGGTTTGCAATAAAGCTAGGGAAGCATTTATCAGATAACTAACCTTTAAGATTCTTCTCTTTCTGGAACCCAACTAGCAGCGGCCAGGAATAGTGAGGTCTGAGTGGCAAGCCTTCCTCTTTCATCATCTTCATCACATCAATGGCCAAGGCTGAAAACATTCGTAAGATAATTAAACAGTGACTGAGTAGTTTAAATAGGCATATGTAAAATAACTAAATAAGCAAAGTACCTGATTTGTTGGCCTCCAAAGCACAACGCAAAATAAACGGTAATGGTGCCGAGTGCATTTTGGCTTCTTTTAACTCACTACAAAACTGCTTCAGCTTGTTAAAGGGCTGCAAAGAATTTCAAAAATTAATTTAATATATTTTTCAATTTCTCAAATTGTTAAGAATGTCAGATTCTTCTAATGTTAGGAAATGGATTTTACACATGCCAAACATGATTCCTTTCTGAATTTCAATTTACTATGCAAATTGATATGAAATATTAAAATCCTTCTTTTATGCCTTAAGAACCGTGCAAAAAATCTACCATTTTCTATCTTCACAGTTACATTAAACTAAATAAATGTACTTTTATTACTATAGTAAGAAAAAAGTATTACTATTCTGCATACCGTATCTCTATTTACACAATGTTGCAAGAAGAAACTACCCTGGTCCATATTATCACGTGATAAATGAGTAAGAGACTTCAAAATATGGAAACTTATATCTTCGAAGCCATGAGTTATCAGAGTCAAACACAGGTTCATTGCATCTGGCAAATGAAAAACCAAGAACAAAATTTAAAAAGTGCATCTAACTAGTTTCACATTAAATTACTAAAATTAGTGAAAGCTAGGAAAGTAAATGTTTTACAAGTATCATTAGCATACTTTTAAACATGATTAAGCGATCAAATTTGAGTCTACCTTTTTCAAAATTATTTATATTTATCAATTAAATTCACTTTTCCCATTAGAAAACCATGCCAAAAACCACAGATGCATCCCCACTGCAGCATGACAGAAGGATACTAAATAAGAGAAACACATTTCTAGACATGTCAAAGAAAAAAAAATGGATAAAGTATAATTAGCAATTATCAATCAGATTACGCATACTGGGATCCTAAAGTGACTTTAACTGTAGATAAAGAAAACTATATTCAGCGTTTAGTCTCCCTTTTTATGATATTCACAAAGAGCTGTCACAACACAAAAGTGTTGTTTGAAGAAAGGACTCCATACTTACTGCTTTCCTATAAAATCTTAATGAATTTTAGAAGTTAAAAAAATTGATAATTATTTTTTGTATGTAAATGATTAAAAACGGTTTGTATTTAAATTTTATAAAATGTGACATAAAGCAGCACAAATGAATCCACAAACTAATGGCAAAAATATTATTTTCCGTAAGTATTCAAGAGAAAAGTACAAAACCAAAATTACCTATTTTTGGTAACATTAGTTATTGTTGAAAAAACAAAACAAAACAAACCCACCACCCAAAAGAAAATGCTTTCCCTCTCCACCCTGAGTAGCAAAACACTGCTGTAGTAACCAAGAACATACCTGGAATTAATTCCCTTTCAAATCTTATGTGGTCTTTAATATCTTCGATGTACTGAGGATATCCAGCCTTGGCAAGGCTAAAAATCACCTGCATCAAAATCCTGTCCATAAGGTACCCTTCAGTCTTCTCAACCTCTTCTAGAGTCTGTAAATGAGAATAAATTTGACTTTAATAAACTCCAAAGTGACTCAAAAGAGGATAAATTAAAATTTCAAAAAGTCACAAAAAGCTGGGGTTTTTTTCCTTTTTTAAAACCACGGGTTTAGATACATGGAATATGGTAGAGAGAATACCCAAGATCTACAGAGAGGGCCGCAAACACCTTTAGACTGTAAAAACAAAAAGGGACAGATAAAAGGGATATAATATATAGTTTCTCTCTAATATCTAATAATATATGAAAACACCAGAGGAATTCCCATTGTGAGATGACTTTCAAAAGAAATTACTTTGAAAAGGGGAGCAAGATTAATTAAACTTTTTGTTAGTGTTTGGAAGAAGGTTGGTTGATGAAGATTTGTTTAGTTTGTAAGTCACAGAACAATATTATGTTTCCCACATTCTCTTTCTTGATTTGGTCCTCTCCATCTGATACTACTTATTAAACTCAAAACAATTTTCTTTTCTCATTCCTTTCTGAGTACTTCTTTGATTTAAAAAAAGTAAGAGAGAATACTTGAAAAAAAAAACAGCTACACAAAGGGCTGTAAGGCAGCATTATCTTATCCACACTTTATGAATACCTAAGTTGTCGGTTTGAATCAAAAAAAAAAAAAAACCAAACCAAAAACAAATCAGTTTTACTGGAAAGATTCTGTGGCTTCAATGGCAGCCAAAGAATGCCTCAATGGGAGCAGGATAATCAAGATTGACTTTTTATTTATTTTTATAAATAAATGTATAAATATCTCACATGCACTATTTGTCTCTAAAAAAACCCTGAATTACTAAATCGCTCACTGGCAAACATATCTTCTCAGAGTAAAAGGCAACTATCAAAAGACAAGTATTTTTCATAAAGTATGAGACTGCTTTCAGTTAACCAGCTATTCAGATACAATAAGAAAAAATTGTTTAATTGCTGTGGACTAGGAGGAAACAAGCTGTAAAATTCAGTATTATTCCTCCTGCATGGATAGAAAGCACTCCAAAGTTAAACTCATCAAAAAAAATCAAACAAGTTGTATTTAAACTCAAACTTGCAATACCTTTTTGATGCTATCAGCATCACCCTTTTCAGCATACATATTCAGCAGTGATAAATAGGTTTCTGGACCTGGTTCAACACCGGCCATCCTCATCACTGAAAGGATATTTTCTGCACTCTTCATATCTCTAAAAGAATTCAAAAGAAAGACCCTCAGTAGATTTAAGCATAATAATGTTTATTGTGACTTCCACATTTCCTCAGTAAATTAATTAGAATTGGAAACAAAGACTGCAACAAGCACAGAGAAACTTATTTTAACTAAGCAAATCCTGAAAGGTGAAAGTGCAAATCTTTTAATTATTGTATTACTTAAAATACTTTTTCAACTTTAACAGATGAAAAAGTTCAAACCTAAGTGCAGCAAATTTCTTTTTCAAACAGTACAAAGGTACAGTAATTTATCTTGAAATTCAAGATTTTCAGACACAAGAAAAATCTGCTTCCTTTGTTAAACAGCCCTGTTTTGCTTCAAAATGTATAAAAAGACAGTCTTCTATACCTTATTATTCAAAACCATCACACTATTCTGCAGCATGTAATTTGTCTGTACAGTATCACTTCATATTGTAGTAAAACCAAAACAAAACAAAAGAAAGAAGGTATTAAACATTACCCTGATCTTGCATGGCCTTTCACAAGGCTACTGAATACTGCCTCAGTGATTGGGAGATCTTTGTTCTTCATAAATCCAAGAATCTTACTGCAAAATACAAGACAATGCATGATTAGATATTTTTTTCCCCTTTGAAAAGATAAACTACTGAGCTATTGCTGCTTTGCTGGACAAGTACTGTATCATCAAACAAAACCAAATCCTGATCTCACTGAGCAATTACGTTTGGGGATGCTGCATAATGTGCTCATAATTTGGTCATTTTCATGTTTTCAGATGAATTGTATTTGTCGCTTTGAAATATGCAGACACAAGGGTGGGGCTGGGGTTTTTTATTTTTATCTTCCCATTACTTATTTCTCACGCCCAGCAATCACACAGTTGCAACTTAACCTTGCTAAAATTAAAATGTTAGACAGGTATCCAGCAAGCCCTGCAGAATGACAACAACAAAAAACAGAATTACTACTATTTGTTCCTCATAGCACACTTCGTTCTCAAATGCCTTTCCCAGTAGCCATTTTCTTACATAGGCAGTAAGCCTTCATAACCTCACACTTCTTCATGCTGGCTCTAGAAATGACAAAACAAGTTATTTTCTGAGCAACTTGAATATAATTTGATTTGAACACACTGGTCTATCACTTATTTTTATTTTGCTTGTGTAGGTTCCAGCTGTCTCTAAGAAACTGCTCTTCAGTGCTTGGTTAAAAAATATACTTAAACCACCTCTTTGCTTTGCTCAATTTATAAAAATTACACTGAAATGAGTTTTAACATTAATGGTAGGGAATACAAGAAACGGATTTTGTGGAAATCCCTTTAAACATAAATGCAAAAGAATACCTTGCTCCTTCAATGTCACCCTCATTGCAATAAGCAGCAATCAACCTTTGGTATGTAACCTACAGAAAACAAAAAGGGGAAGTTAATGATTTCCATCCAATAAATGGATATTACTATTAAGAATGAAGATATCATAAAAGGGTACCTACTCGATTGGGCTGCACATTAGCTTCCTCCATTCTGGCCAAGAATTCCGTCGGAGAAAATTTGTGCTCATTCTGAAGGTAGACTTTAAGTAAAGCATTATAATGGCTTGTATCATACACAGCACCTAAGGAAATATTTCAACCACAGTCAGTGAATGTAGATTCTCTACAGTCAACATGATTTTATATCTTTCTCAGGTAATTAATTTCATAGAAATTTTATTCTGTATGAACTTTATGTATAGTCAGACTGCTTCCTTTTATCCATCTTTGAAATCAGACATCTATTTAATTAACAGCACGCCTGTTTATAAAAGGCTAAAACATAACAAGAACACAGTAACATCAATGCTCATGTGCATGCTATTCAACAGTCTCTATAGCTGTATTTATTTTACAGAACCAGCAATATTACTATCAAGAAGTAGTTCGCCTATGCAACATCTATAGAGAAATTACTAACTTAAAATAAAAAAAATCATCTGATAAAACAGCTGGTAGCACTAGGAATACTCAGCCCACCAGATATCAAGGTATCGTTTAACAGAAAAGTAAAATACATTCTTACAATAATCAAAATCAAGCAAAAGTCCAATTTAAGCATCTTACAAAAAAAAAAAATCTTTAGATTTTTTATTAACACCCCTAGATGTCAGTATAACTCCCAGAATAGGAAATAGGTCTCTCACCTGATAATAAAACCTAACATTTATTTGGTAATGAGTATTTGCTGTTATAACCTAAGATTTAAAGACTATTAAAATACATTCCGTCTTCCATTACAAAGAAAGTAACTAAAGCACATAGCTGTTCTTGCAAGAGGGACTAACAAAACCAACCTACCCAGTTCTTTCATCTTGTCCCATATCATATGGGCTAGTTCCGTTCTTTCAGGTGACAACACCTCTGGTAAAAGAGCACCACAACTTCGCAACAAAAGCAAGGTCTGGTTACTCCCTGGACACCCTGCAAGTGGAACACAACCACAAATTTCTTTATAAATAATTATGCATTTAATATTAGAACAAAGATTTGAGATTGACCCACTGAAATATTTAAACATTTTGCATAGCACAGAATCTTCCGCAAGATTGAAGATTTTTACTGAACAGGACACCCCAATGATTAAACAATGACACGACTATGCGCTACCATGAGAAAGATTCATGATAAAACATGCCACTTAGTACAATAAACAGCTCAGCTGAGCAGAAATTTATTTTAAAAATACAATACAAAATACTAAACTCAGGATGATCTAGTACTTTAAATTTCCCAATCCAAGATCCATAGATCATTTAATCCTAACAGGGACATTAACTTTCTGGTAAATTTCTAAACCAGCAAATACTTCATACCAATTCCGTGCTATTCCAAAACTGGTATTCAGAGACATTCCACATTTAAATTTCCATTTCCACTTCTGCCCATGCTCTATATAAAATAAATGAGAATCTACACCTAGAGAATAGTGAAGGAAACTGTAAGAATGTCTGCCTTCTCTGACTTCTGGGCTAGCCCCAGAATGTCAAAAAAGTAACTATAAACTCATCTGTCTTGCTTGGACTTCACTATTACTCCTGAGGCAAAGGCAGAGCTGCAGAATCTATCACAGATTACCCAATAAGCTGGAGACAAAATTTTTCTCAATCACATCTTTATATGCAAACCCAGCAATTTCTAATAGAAAGGAGAGTTTAGAAAGCAGCATATGGTAAAGGACAGAAAAAAAAAAAAGCTAAAAAATGTTGTCTATTCCTTTCCTATCACAGAGAAAGGTATACTTCAGAAGTAACTTCATCTAACAAGGAGCAAGATAAATGTTTACATACAACATAAATGACGAAAAAAATCTGTAGGATTTTCTATCTCAGAGACATACATGCAGACTTGAAAGATTCAGACTTCCAAAATGACTTGAAGTCTAAAACATCACTAATGCTTTGTAAGCTACTTCCAAATCATCACGCCAACACTCCAAAGTTGTGTACAGCCCTGCACAGAGGCAGGAGCTGTTGCCAGTAAAGATATCTCCAGATGCTGATGATCGCTGTAAGTGTAATTTTTAATTATACAGAGCTGTAGAAACAGCTATACAGCTATAAAATAATGGCAAAATAAAGTAAAAAACCCTCAACAGCAGAAAGCTATATACTGCCTAGAATTAGATTTTCAGGTACTGAAAAGGACCAGCAAATCTAGGATACCACATAGCTATTGTAAATTATGTTTCAAGACCTCAATCCACAGCAGAAAACTTATTCATACAGTGTAAACTCATCTGGGGAGAAACACAGGCAGCAGTGGGGAAAAAAAAAAAAGCAATAATGAGAAGTAAGTTAAAACACTGAGAGGGGGCAGGTATAAATTGCAAATGGGGATTTGAACTTCTGAAGACATAATGGAGTGGTGAGAGAAGTCATACTTGACTTAACTTTGAAATCCCTGCATACAATTAATCCATGCAATAAAAAGGCCAACACATGTCCAGTTTCTTAATGCCGTTGTTATACCAGTGACTGAGTACCTTGAAAGGCAAAAGAAACAAGAAAAGGCTTGGCAGTATGAGCATGGAGAGCTGCAGGACAAGAGATCTATAGCAAGCACCTTCTTCGGGCATTTTTCATTAGAAATGGAAGAACAATATAAACACAGGCAATCTTTTTAAGAAATCAACAGTAACTAACCTCCCACACTTCTGCTACATTAGTTTTCAACATTATTAATAAAAAAGGACTGAATTCTTCATATGGAAATATATGTCATTTATTTTAATAGCGTCCTAGTTAAAATTCTTGTGAAGTTCGGTGCTTTTTTTTTTAAATATACTTGCACAGCCAAAGGAAACCACTATAAAATCTTTTTGTTAATATGGCTTCCTAAAAACTGTGTAACTAACCAATGATCATGAAGAACTGTGATTTGCAGATAAGCCGAGACACATAAAATTCTTGCCAACCCATACTCACAAATTAAAAGTTTATACCTAAAAAAGACAAAGCAGTCAATATCAGAAAGGATATCACAAGCAAAAAGAAAAAACTAAGAAGTCCAACAGAAAGAGAGCACGAATTGAAGACTCAGCTTTTAAGCAGTGAACTGCAAAACTTTTAAAAGCGCAATCCCAGGTATACAAGACATTAACAGTCCAGAGCAATACACAGCAAAGTTTAAAACTAAAACAAAACAATACATGCTGTCATTGACAAATATTGGCAGTGGTACTTAGTGAGTATATTTAGCAAATATCTCTATTGACTCATCCCAACTGGTACCAAACCTCATTAATTGTGGTACCTGGTTTGCAAAATATTGATATGGTCTGGCTATTTTTAGCCAAAGGGGTATTGAATCTGTCAGAATGAACAAGGCCTCAGCTGTTTATTTTTGGTTTATTCAAAAAAATAAAGCTTTCTTGTTCTGCATAACCACAGCTACCTGGCAATGCAGAAACTTGGGGATCACCTCCACATTTCCCTGTCTGTGTAGTTCCATTTTAAAACAAATAACCTCTTAAGGACAGCATGGCTTATTACAGACATTTTAAAAATATACTCTGTAAAACAGACAGAAATGATCCCTGTTCAGAGTGCACAATACAATTATATGAGGAAGGTGTAACATCGCCAGATAAAAAATAAGCAAGGCAATATGATATCTTAAAAAGTGCACTGAATTTTTACACGACTTATAAATTCCCAAACACAAAAAAAACTGGAAAAGTAATCGTGTGCATTCAAAGCAAAATAACATCTCTAAAGCATTTAAAGCCTGTTCATCAACATATGTAGCAGATTAAATAACACTCAAAGACAAAATATAAATCAGAACTCTTTCAATTAATTTCCTTGGTTTGATGAATCATTATATTGCAGCTTTAAATGTAGCTTTTATTTTGCTTTAATTGGAAACAACTTACCTGTTTTGCATATTTCATGGAAGATTTTTAGTAGAAGGGCTTTAGGAATGCGGCCAGTTTTTCTGACAGAGTTATCCAGTTTATTTAATGCCCAGTCAAACTGCCAGGTCCGTCTGGTTTGAATTTCTGAAATTGGTTCTTCTTTAACACTTCCCTCCTGTTGAGGTGCAACTGTAAGGAACCTTATTTGGTACATAATGTTTCTGCTTCAATAAAAACAAACAAAAAAACAGAGATTACACTTCTGTGAGTCATTTTGCAATTACACTAGTCACACAATGTCAAAAAGATAATGCACCTCATGCTGATGAACAGTTTCTCAAAAGCATACCATATTGATATAAAAAAACAAATACAGGTGATTTATTTCAGTGTCTTTGTACGTAAAAAGATATAGTCATGTATATTTTCTCACAGTGATAAGTGTTTCTCTGAGATTTTTGTTGGCTTCACCTCATGAGTTAAATGGTTCAAATACTGTTCCCACAAAAATAAAAATTTTTAAGTCATCCAAGTGCTATAAAAGTCTATTGTCCCACTACAGCTTCTCACAAAAGCTCTCACATGCTTTTGAAAAATCACTCCAAGAACAGTCATGGACATCACTTCCAGAACACCGCAAATCGAGGCAGCAAATCATACCTTTCTTTTCAATTAAAACACAAAAACTAATGCAGAGGCCAGTGTTTCAGACAACAATGGTTTAAAGAACAATTCCCCATTCTGCAGAATTTACATTAACAAGCATGAAGAGGCCATCCTCCAATGCACACCAAACATCAACACCAGATTTGTTTAAATATTTATTTTCTCAAAATAAAGTATGACAACAAGAAACATAATGAGAAAGTGTTCTTATTTCTAGCAAAACAGTAAGAGCTTGCCTTTTTTTTTTTTTTTTTTAAAGAACAAGTTGATGTATATAAGAATAAGAAAATAGTATTTGTGCCATAGTGGAATTGTGAACAGCCTGTGCAGGTAAAATTATCATTGCACACACAAGCATTTTTGGAGGTCTGTTCTCAATTGTCCTTAGAACTGCATGAAATAAACCAGACTATCCTCCTCCAGAATCCTATACAAAGGAAGTAATACATGCTGGACGCCAAGAAGATTCAGCAACTTCTGAAACTGTCCTCCCTTATCTCTGGCTCTCTAGACAGCTCTTCAGCTAAATTTCTGTAAGGTCTCTAGACTAGTTGGAAAAAACCTAGTTGTTGTACTCCCTGCTGTTACAGATGCTCCAGGAGTCCTATGCAGTAATGGCTGCATGTTTTGTTGAAATGGCAGCCTAGAAGTAAGGAGTGCTGGCATTCTCTACAAAATGATTTCCTACACCTGGAGCTTTTTCACAGGTATATCTGCTGGTTGGTTTCTCACCAACCAGTGCTGGTTTAAGGCCCTCGGAGAGGAAGTCCAGTGGAAGAGAAAAAGCTTGCTGGCAATTCAGTGTTTCAGCAGCACTGGCAGCAAGCTGCTAAATGGCAGAAAAATCATCAGTGGAGTGCATATCAGTGTGGTGGAAAAAACAGACTGGTGGTTTACCATCTGGTTGCCTCTTGTGAGTAGGAAGTAGCCCAAAGATCACCTTTTTCCGGGCTGTTTAAAATCCTGATTTGATAACTGAGCAGGCCATAAGTTCTAGGAGTAAAATTCTTTAAATAAAACCAGCTTGAAGCAGAATATCTTTCCTAATGGAGCTGTGAAAACAGTTTAATAGAAGATGTCTGGTTTTTGAAGGCATTAAAAAAAAAAAATATCCTTTAGTAATGAGGAACATCACTACCATTTGGCACTATCTTTTTCAAGCAGGAAATTTTACACTGACCAATCTCCTTGAGTTTCCTCTTGAAGAATTTTCCAGAGGCCAGCAAATTATCTGCATTGTATTTGACTAGGGAAAGGACAAGAAAGAAAGAATTGGAGAAGGGAAAGAAGACTGCCAAAAAGGAGAGATACCCTCCTTTAGTCTCAGTTCTACCTCCTTCTAGATCCAAGTTCCCCCTGATTCCTTTGAACTAGCCTTCATTTTATTCAGATCCCTGTGTGAGCTTATTTAACTCGCTAACCTGGCACAATACCAATTCAGCCACTTCTAAAAAAACCCAAACAATTACTGTTCCATCAGGTTAGAGTGGAAACAGTTCACGATGTCCAAAAATGACACCTGAATGAATGAGAAAAAAGAAATGGAGTAGGAATAGGTGGCTAAAATCAGAGGCACTAGGAAGAAGAAACTGAAACACCACTTTTGGTGGTAAACAGCTCGTCAGATTAACACTATTAAACTTTTTTTTGTTACTAGTAATGCCATCTCTCACTAGAAATATTTGCAAGGGTGTCATTTTCCCTGATTCTTTCCTTCCATCCTTTTCCTCTTCTCCTTCTACCTCATCATATAACCAGAGACAGGGTACTTTCCCTAAAACAGAAATCATTAGACTAATAAAGAGTAAAATCCAGTAGTATAAGGTAAGAATAACAGTAAGATACTAAATCTTAAGTCCTCTTGGATGTAACAACCAAATGAGATGTCCACAACCTAAACCCTTTACTAACACATAAATAGCAATACTCAACTATGAGCTAGCCACTGGATAGCTACAAGAATGAAACTGTAACAACTGCAAGTTCTTTATCTATTTTTTCTTAAAGATATAGATAAAAAAAGAAAATGGTATCATCCACTCATATACCCATTAAAAAAGCTAATTCTTGAAAGCTTTTCAGAATACTTCAAGTCAAGTTGGAAAAAATGCTTTGGAAGCAAGCCACACAGGACTTACTGTCTTTGTAACACAGAACTTCATACTTTGATTTCCATTAACAATCAAAGCACAAGTGGACAAAACTCCTGTGCTTCAAATAAAATTGAAAAGTCTTTTTCTATAAAAATCTGCTATTGTTTTATAGTATTTTGCAAAATATTGAATCATATCTTACGCCACATTGCTCACTTGTAACCATAAACTAATCGATATCTACAATTCTTATCTTCTGCACTGTTCTAAGCAAGCCATCTTTGTAAGATTCTCCACATTTCGAAAGTCACAAACATTTTAAATCACTTGCATAGCTCCATCAGATTAAGTATGAAGATAAAAACAGTATGTGCATGCTCAAAATACACCGGTTAACAGCATGAGAGGACTCTAGTTTCATTTGTGACTAAACTCTCCCTCCTTAGCATTTAGCATGATGATGTCTATAACATAAGTTTAGAATATTATACTATATCAATTCCTACAGTTGCACACTGTAAAATATTATACTCTTACATGAAGTGTTACTTTAAGTTAACCTTCTGAAAAATCAGCAGAATTGGGCATTTCTATTTACATCACCACCACGCCCTGATACTATCAAGTATGGTACTGGTGTTTCTGCTGATTTATACTGATTAAAGACATTTTAAGGAATGGCAACATGGGAGTCTGAAGGGAAAACAGTATAAGAGTATAAAACAACCTGAAGAACTCTTAAACTTCCACTGGCATCCACCTAAATTACTATTATCAATCTGACATATAATGTCTAGCATAAGACTTGTGTGTACTTTATCATCTGTAGGCTTTCAACATTTGAATAAATTACACTTCTAGCATGATTTAAAGCACTGTGTAATGCTAAGCCAATCCCATAGTAAGAATTTGTTAAAAATAACTGTGTCTTCAAAAGCTGGATGAAGCTGCAGGCATCTACTGTCTTGAATTTCGTTCTTAGCACTACAAATCAACTTAGAATACAAAACTTGGGGGGGGGGGGTGAAATGCTAAGAGCTCACTATTCTGAAAGATTAAGCAGACCAGAAAGACAGCTTCCAAAAAAATGCAAACTTAACAAATTAAGTGACACAGTATAAGGTTTGATTTCAGGCAATCAAGCTGTCGTGGTTTAGCCCCAGCCAGCAACTAAGCACCATGCAGCCGCTCGCTCACTCCCCCTACCCCGATGGGATGGGGGAGAGAATCGGAGGACTAAGAGTGAGAAACACTCCTGGGTCGAGATAAGAACAGTTTAATAATTGACATAAAGTAAAATAGTAATGATAATAATAACAATATAATAATGATAATAATAGTAATATACAAAGCAAGTGATGCACAATGCAATTGCTCAGCACCTGCCAACTGATACCCAGCCTGTCCCCAAGCAGCGATCGCTGCCCCCCAGCCAAGCCCCCAGTTTCTATACTGAGCATGACGTCATATGGTATGGAATAGCCCTTTGGTCAGTTTGGATCAACTGTTCTGGCTGTGCCCCCTCCCAGTTTCTTGTGCACCTGGCAGAGCATGGGAAGCGGAAAAGTCCTTGACTAGCATAAGCAGTACTTAGCAACAACTAAAACATCAGTGTGTTATCAACATTCTTCTCCTACTAAATCCAAAACACAGCAGTATGCCAGCTACTAGGAAGAAAATTAACTCTATCCCAGCCGAAACCAGGACACAAGCAAAGGACAGAAGAATGCAATAGACTACAGACTTACTGAAAATTGATACTAATGGCAAAACCTCCCCATGAAACAGAAAAAGAAGCTAACAAAATGAAGCAGTTATCCATGCATCAGGAATCTTCAACAACCTTGTACGATTCTTAATTTTTAGAAGTTGAGAAAGAACACATGATTAAGTGGAATTAAAAAAAAAAAAAAAGGCAAGGATAAAAAAATCGAGGCAGCCATGTTAACCATTTCAGTCAGGACGTCACAAAAAAAGGCAGCAAGAAAGGCTTCTAAATACAAGAAAGATGGTTTTAGAAAATACACATACCTCTCAAAATGGAAAAAAAAATTACAGATCATACACTGTTTAGCTTTCAAAAAATGTTAATTGCAACCATACCATGTAAACTTTAACCATTTTACCATGACTAAATTTTAACAAGGAGATGGGGATGCAGGTGAGAATAGGGAAGAATGAGCTAAATCATTTCTGGAAACATTAAGATATGTTATATTTAGGACACATTAATGGACCTTGCTTAATCTCCAGTCCTTTGGAATTACCTTCAAAAATTCATGAAAGTTTTGGGAAAAACAGAAGCATAATCAATAAAAAATAGAGATTGATGTACAGGCTTTTGGCACCATGTTACCTGACAATTTCATAAGCAAAATGAGAGGATACAATGTACTTTTAGTCACAAAAATATGGGTGCAGTAGTTGTTTAAAACACAATCAAAAAAATACATATAAA